TGAACAAGTGCAATGCCAAGGCTGCCAGGAGGCTGGCATGTCCCCTGCACTGCCACATGTCCCTCCCCAAGCTGCTGGAGGGACTGAGGAGATGACCCAACCTTCTCCCTCCTTCCTCATGAGGTGACACAGCCCCTCCTGCCTCGCTCGGGGACTCCAGGAGGAACCTCATGTATGTTGGGAAGAGAGAATTCTTCCCCAAACCAGCACCATGTGAATATATCCCTGCAAGTCCTGGCATTTGAAAAACATGTTTGTGCCTAGGCCTTATCCTCCTAATTACCACAGCAGTAATGAATCTTGATGAATCAGTAATGACCTTCTAAAGCTCACTGAAACTATTTTGGCTTCCACTTCATCGGGATGAAGTCACACAAACAGGCAGAACTCCTTTTCAGATGCTAAATAAGGCTGATCCCAAACTCTACTTTTTCTTCCCCTTTGCTGATTTTCTAGAGTTACAGGACAGTACATTTAAGAGCTGACAAAATTCATCACTGCCTGTAGAGCCTGTGACGAGCTCATAGGCAGAACAGGGCAGCTAATGGATGTTTCCAATAAATCCCATCAATTTCCCAAATGATTCCCCAGCAAGTGCAGATAATAGAGCAGTTACTGCCTGCCAGGTGGGCAATGCATGGCTGCACAAACCTCACTGTCCACTTCACCCTGGCAAGCAGGTAACAAAGTGTGTGTGCAACTGCCACCCAGCATGCTGACCTTGGCTCTCACCCTACCACAAACTTCTCAGTTCTTTACCTGTTAGTATGATGTGCATTAATAAGCTTGAACACCATGTTTCTTTTTTGGCCAAGAGACAGGCTGGCCCCTTGTCCCTGAATCTGTTGGTTAGTGGTTTTTATCCCTGCAGTCTCATGGGATAACTGAGGAGCTCAGGAAGTCTCTAGCCCAAGTCCCAGCTCGAAGCATGGCCAGATATGATGTTAGACCAGGCTGCTCAGGGCATTATCAAGTCTTCAAAACCTCTTGGGATTAAGATCCCATGATGTTTCTGTTTTCTCCTTGGATGTCCTCACGGGGAAAAGGTTGCTGCTTATATCCAGTCTGAACTTCTCATTTCACAACACACAACCCACAACCTCAGCCACTAGAGCATGTCCTGAAGTTCCTCATCTACAAGTTTCTTGAATATATCCAAGGATGGTGACTCCACCACCTCCCTGGGCAGGCTGTTCCTGTGCCCGACCACTCTTGCAGCAAAGAAATTCTTCCTAATATCCAATCTAAGCCTCCTCTGCCACAACTCCAGACCATAACTCATGGCTCAACCACATGGCTTCACTTCCAGGCTTCTGTTCAAACCCTGTTTGATCTCCCTGTTGTACATAATATTCTCCATGAAACCTTTTCAGCAGGCAAACCTTCCAGACTGGTGTCAGAAGTGACGTGGTCTGAGGCAGAATCCATGGTACTGAAGATGGAGGGAAGGTTCAGGTTTTAGAATCACTTATCATGAAATTTTGCAGTGAGATTGCTTAGATGTTATAGGCACTGGCAAAGTATTACTGGTGGTGTAAAATCTGAAGAACAGCAATGTGGATGTACTTCTTGAGGCAAAAGTGTGCATTTCATCTCTTTGAAAAAGCAGGAAGCAGATATTTAAATGTGTTTGGAAAGAGGGGTCAGAAGATGGGTTTTTTTGTAACTAATTTTGGGCAGGAAAAAAAAATCTGCATTCAGAATGTGTTGCAGTTCATTTTACTAACATGAACTACCATGGTTATAGAAACCAGCTACTGGGGGAAATGTCTATGAAATCTGCTGGTTACAAACCAGGTACTAGCAATGAGATAAAGCAAAGCAAGTCATTCCCATTGTGTTATATATTCCTACTCCATGGCAGGAATAACAAGATACTTATTATCAGTCAAAGTAATAGCCAAGGTTGGAGCTCATCAAAGAGGGAGATATTTCAGTCACTGAAATACACATAATAGATGCTTTAATCTTTTTGTCTATTGGGAATAGCATGATCCAAAGTGTGATTTGTCATCTTTAAGAAAAAAAATGCTCCTTCCTCCATGCTTGGCACTTGCTGTTCCATTAGAGCAGCTGGATGGATTCAGTTTGGTTAACACAGCATTCTCCTGTTTCTCTTTGTAATTTCCTACTAGCTATTTTTGTCATTACTCCAGATGCCTTGAAGTCATAAATAAAGGCCAAAGTCCTTTTATAGAAGCAATAACTTTTCTGACAGTGAAAGAAGGCTTGACTGGGTAAATCAGACATCAGTGTCATCTCGGGAGAGTGCACCATGTGCCACTTACTCAGCTTTCTGTCCTTTAAACAAAGCAGCTCAGCTCCTGATCTAGGGTCTGCTTGGATATCACAGATTCAGAGTCATTCTGGTTGGAAAAGACCTTTAAGATCATTGAGTCCAGCCATGACCTAACTCTACCAACCATTAACCCAACTCTACCAAGCCCAGTGCTTAAACCATGCTCTTAGGCACCAGATCTATGCGTCTCTTAAACACCTCCAAGGATGGAGACTCAACCACCTCCCTGGGCAACCTATTCTAGTGCTTAATTACTCTTTTAGAACATAAATTGTTCCCACTATCCAATCTAAACCTTCCCTAACATGACTTGAGGCCATTTCCTCTTGTTCTGTCACTTGTTCCTGGGGAGCAGAGCCTGACCCCCCTGGCTCCAACCTCCTCTCAGCAGCTGCAGAGCCAGCAGGTCTCCCCTCACCTCCTTGTCTCCAGGCTGGACACCCCCAGCTCTCTCACCCACTCCTCAGAGGACTTGTGTTCCAAACCCTTCACCATCTTCTTCATTGCTCTTCTCTGAACTCACTCCATATCCCTGTGGTGAGAAGCACTTTGTGTATCCACCTCATTTTCCCACGAGTCAAGCAAAGCCACAGTTTGGCTAAATCCAAGTAAAACTGAAAGAAAGTCTCCTTACCTGTGCTGCTGGAGATGTTGACATCAATGCTGATATCTGATATTCCACCTCCTTTCAGAGACGCAACACACGTGTATGTCCCAAAGTCAGTGAATTTCAAGTCAATGATGTCCAGATTTGTGGTGCCAGGGGAGACATCAGGGTCAGTCTGGGTGATCACCATCCTCTCCGAGCTCCGCAAGGGCCGCCCGTTTTTAAACCAGCTGAAGGTGAGCTCTTCTGAAGGGATGGCTTCCACCTGGCAGGAGATCTTCACTTCTCGTCCAATCTGGATGTTGTCATCTTTATGGTAGGGGTCAGGAGTGATCCAAAAACGGCCTTTTTTTAAGGCTGAAAGATGAAAAAATAATTAATACTATGATAAAGCATTAATTCTGCATATTCAGACTTGGCACAGACTGACTGTGTTCCTGTTTCACTCTGTGTCTGCATATGATTTTAATAGGGTCTGTAGTGATAGGACAAGAATGGTTTTAAACTAAGGGAGGAGAAACAGATTAGATATAAGAAAGAAACTGCTTACACTGATGGTGGCGAGACACTGGGACATGCTGCCCAGAGAGGTGGGAGATGCCCCATCCTTGGAAACTTTCAAGGTCATGTTGGATAGGGTTCTGAGCAACCTGATCTTGTTGCAGATGGAACCCCAAGGTTGATGAGCTTTTTGAGGCCATGTCAAAGGCAGGTTAAGTGGTCAGGAGTGCCCTGCCCCCACCTGGGGGTACAGCCACTCTGGAATACACTATTCCCCACCATCTTCCTGGCCACACCAGCATCATTCCCTCATCACTCTGCAGCACAGGAGCAAAATAATACTGCAGCTCACTTCTCTGATTTTTTTCTTGTAACTCTTCAAATGGGCATAAAACTACCCAGAAACGATCATAATTTACATCAATAAAGTGATTGCTGTGAAGCAGTGTTGGTGTGACACTCATTTTTGGGAGAGTGCTTCAGAAGCACCCATTAAGTCTTTCAAATACACATATATTTTGATGCACTGAATATAAAACGCTACTTACACAATCCCAAGATCCCTCAGCTCCTGTACATTTCTGCATGTTGCACATATGTATTTTTCTATATGCTATCTCCAGCTGGGAAGTCCCACAGTTACCAGAGAATCACAGAATGGTGAAGGTTGGAAGGGACCTTAAAGATAATCAGGATTCAACCCCCCTGCATGAGCAGGGACACCTCCCACCAGACCAGGCTGCACAAGCCTCATCCAACCTGCCCTTCAACACCTCCAGGGAGGGGGCTCCACACCCCCCCTGGGCAACCTGTTCCAGTGCCTTCCTACCCTCATGGGTAAGAATTTCTTCCTAATATCTAACCTAAATCTCTCCTCTTTCAGTTTAAAACCATCACCACAGTCTGGTGAAAACCCTGTCCCCAGCTTTCCTATAGGCTCCAACACCTTTACCAATAGGAAACCAAAGGTTAGAAGTCTTACAAGCAAATACCCAGGACAAATGCAGGTACTGGAAGAGAAGTAACTAAACTCCCCATTTTTCATCATCATGCTGACTTCTACTGAAGTCACCTTGTTATTCCCCTCCCATTCTCTCTGCACCCCCTTCCCCATCCATGCCCAGAGCCCCACATGGGGAGTGTTTGAGTAAAGGACCCACTTGCAGCACTCTCCTGTCTGCCCTCATATACTCACATGCTCTCATCAATGAAGTGTGACACCTTCTCCCAAGTGAATAACAATAATAACAACAGGACCAGAGGAAATGGCCTGAAGTTGTGCCAGGGGAGGTTTACATTAGATATGAGGAAGAATTGCTGTGCTGAGCTATCAGACACTGGACCAGCCTGCCCAGGGAGGTGGTGGAGTTACCATCCCTGGAGGTATTCAAAAGCCATGTAGATTTGGTGCTTCAGGACAGGCTCCAGTGGCCAAGGTTATGGGGTTTGAGAGTTTTTGTGATTTTTCTGGTTTGGTTTGGCTTTTTGGTGTTGGCAATTGGACTTGGTGACCTTAGAGGTCCTTTCCAACCACGATGATTCTGTGATCATTACAAAGGACAAGGGCTATGAGCTGAGTGTTTCCCTGCTCCCATACTTCAGGTGATACACACCTCCCCCTTGCTGCGTGCAGAGAATGTCACAGTCAAATGGAAATAGATGGATGAGGCACCAAGCATGGTGCATTGGCTCCTTGCATCTCTACAAGGGCTGAAAATGCTAATTCAGACTCAATTTTCTCAGCTCAGCAGCTCCTTGAACAAAAAAAAACCAACACTGTGTGGAGCTTGCAAATGCCATCCTGAATTAGCACTGTCAGAACTTTGAAAATAATTAATATTTAGATAATAATTAGGGTTGGGGGTTTTTTCGATGTGAGAAAAATATAAAATCTGGCTACTCATGGCCCCCTCACACCTGGTCTGAGAAACTTCTGCTGAGGAAGCCCTTTTAATCAGAGAATGAAAAAACTCTGACCTTTGATCAGGTATGGCATGAAAGGTGTGTGGCTGTTTAATTGTAACTCAGTATTCAAGAATCCAAGCTGTTGATGTGTTCTTAAGGATTTATTACTATTTCATTTCTTTAAGAAAGTTTCATCACTTCTACTAAGATTAAATTTGCACTGAAATGCACTAATCTTGACTGAGCATCTCTCATTCCCTTTCAGCAGCTGCAGCCAGTTCCCTGGGAAGCAGAAGAACAGGCACTTTGATGCAAGAGGATGAACCATACATGGGGTGACAGCTGGAAACTGCCTCAGCAAGTGACTTCAAAACACAAGCTGAACTTTGTTGTTGGAAAATGGAAGAACAAATAATGCTTACATGCACAAAACTAGTAAATGGATTATGCAAATAGTTTTCAGACAGGGAAAAAGAAACAGTAACTCATGAGGCACGACGAGCAGCATATTTCAGCCAGAATTGATTGCTAATAACCTCAGTGAAGTATTTTTTTTTCTGAATTTACTCCTTTGCTTTGAGTGCCCACAGAGATCACACCAGCAGTGTCTCCTTCCTATAAAGGAACAACAGGGTCTAGTAGAAAACTCCCATTGAGGGTCTGACTCACTGCATTGCCTGGAAAAAGTTAAGGGAGTTTTTAGAAATTCTTGAAGTGAAGGAAGAAGCCTCTTTGCTCTGTTCTCTTTCTTTAAACCAAACCTCTTCAGCCAGGTGAACACACACCATATTCATCAGTAACAGTCAGGAAATCCACCACAACCAACAACCCAACAACAGTGTAACTACAACCTGTGGTGGAAAGTCAATGTGCTGTTTCCATAACCTCCAAGACTCCACAAAGTGCAAAGCTGTCACCTTTTGCTTTTGTTACCAACCAAATCAGCAGACAATTTTACTTTGAAATAAAGCCTCTTTTCAGAAGCAAGTCCATTGAACAACCCACATCTGCAAATCCCCAATCTCACTTGGCACCAGAATAAACACTGATTTCTGCAGCTAACCCACCTATCTCGGAATCTCTGAGGTGCCACCAAAGCACATGAAAATCACCACCCACACCTGGATGTAGCCCCAGGAAACCAACCACAGGTGCCCAAAGATGTCTGATAGCCACAGGCACGTGGAGCTGGAGGACAGTGGGAGCACGGGCTGACACTTTCCTCTCTGGCCTGGGACTGTGGTCAGAACTGTCCTAGTTGTGACAGTTGCTCAGACAGATTGTGAGCTAACTTGCTCAATATTTGTCCCAGAAGCAGCCCAAACACTGGAGTGCTGGTTCCAAGAACACTGAAATTCCTGGTGGTCTTGCTCCACCATCTATTTTCAAGGATGGAAAGCACCACAAGATACAGTACTGCCACCAGTAGTAACAAACATCCCTTCCCCAGATCCTGAAAAGGGCAGTGGCAGCTGTGGTGTCAGAGCATCTGGGAGCTGGAGCTCTTTGTAGGAAGAGGAAATTGATCATAGACTTCCCTCTCCAGGCTAACGAGACTCCAGATCACTTCACATACTGGAAACTTCCTGACCTGCTGGGTCTCTGCATTGTCAGTTACAGCTGAGGCAGCATTTGAAGGTTTCTGGATATAGCAAATAAAAGAGACAGAGGGTTAAGCAGCAAAATGTGGGAGATGATGCTGCAGACACGCCAACTGAAGCTGCATCCCAGCAGATTTCAGAACATGATCAACACACAAACCAGCAGCAGCTGTGCAAATAAGTCTGCAGCTGAACCTTGAAACTCAGGAAAGTGCCAGTCTCTCTTCAAAGAGGCCCTAAATAACTATGATGTGATCAAATAAACAGAGATGAAACAATTTTCATCCTCAAACTCATCACAAACTGTCAGTGCCCTCCCCCCTTAATTACATTTCAAAGCTATAAAATGCATTTCAGTATCTCAACTAAGGTCTGTTTGCATTCATCACCCCCACCCTGATCAACCCAAAATGCTCGTTTAATGCATCAAAATGTTCATATCTCACAAATGCACATTTCTTGACATCTGAATGGCACCAAGCACCAGAACTGAACACATGACCTGCTGCACTATTTGTGGGCTTTGACATCCCAACTTTTGGCCACTGGCTGCTTCCTAAGCCATGGGGGAACTCTTGGCTTTGTGTCTGCTGATGGCTGTGGCTGTGCAGCCCCCAGCAGCTGCAATAGGAAACAGCAGAACTGTGCAAATCAGGGATTTTAACCTTGACTGAGCTCTTGGATGCCACACGATGCCCAGCCTCTGTGCACTCACCACAAGTGGCTTTGACTAATTGTTGATGGATCCCCTTCACAGTTTGTTAAGGATCGTGTGGGATTTTTGTTCTAAGAGGTTTGCAGGGAACAAGAGAAGAACATCAGCTGATCATCTACTTGTGCCCTGAAGCACCACAAGTACATTTGGGAGGTTTGGTGACCCCAGCATCCAGCACAGCACTTGTTTCCAAGCACCCAGCACTGGCATTTCATCAAGTCAGGGCCAATACCTTCATCTCCAGATCCAGCTCACTTCTAGGATCCTCCAAGGCTATGGAAGGTTCTGTGTTTCATGCCCTGGATCAGGCAAGGCAGCAATCCCTTCCAAGTGCCCAGATGTTACTGACCCCTTGATGTTTCCTTTTCACGTGCATGAAAAAGAGCTTGTGCTAAATGGAAGGCTTTTTCACTCTGAGGCCAAGGGCCTGCAGAGGAACAGCAAGGAAAAGGCCAAAGATCTGATCCAAACTTCATCACAGTGAATGATGGTCCTTCCATGACTTCTGTGTGCTCTGGACTGAGCCCTTTGCCTTCTGTTTCACACCAAAGAATCAGAAGATAGAAACAGCACCGTTTGAGCAGCTTGGCTGGAAAAACTGCTGCAAACCTCAGCTTCATTCTCTAGAACCTGCA